CAAAGCAGGGCTCCAGGGCAGATCTATTGAAAAGATTAAATGAATAGATCTGTCTGTGTGTTAGCCAGTGCTGTAGGTCTTTCATATTGTTGTCCATCATATTGTGCCATAATGTACTGTGTTGTGGTTTGAGCTGTGGTAGTGTCTCTTATAGCGAGACATGGAGAGTCCAGTAGCATTGTTCCAAGCTCTGACTGGAAAATGCAACTTCCCAAAATCCAGCATTTACTTAGCCATGGATACTTCATTCGTATTTTAGAGGAATGATTGTGGATTTATTGGGGGTCTGGGAAGATATCCAGGTCCAGTATGTCTGGATCTGACATTACCTCCTGTACATGAATGCTGGGTTTGTGTTGGTCCTTGTGCTGTGGCTTAGCCTGGATGGTGATGAGAGTCATGCAATGCCTCTCCCCTCCCGTCGTAATGTGGCTGTGTCCCTGCTTGCACTCTTCAGGCAGCTCTACTCTTGAACAAAAGATGAAATTATGACTGCTCTCCTTGTCATTTTGTATAGGGCCAAGGGCTTCCAGCACCAAAGGATGACCAATGGGGCAATGAATGTTGAGATTGGAAACCCTGCTTACAAGATCTATGAGGGCGAACCTGATGACGATGCTGGGGAGCTGCTAGATGCAGACTTCACTCTGGACCCAGACAAGGTAGAGAAAAATATAGACGTGTGCAAAACTTCAGTCACTCTTCATTTCTTTATAGTGTTCTTGCAAGTTGCCAGACTATTATAATGCAGTTTTTATTTTAAAAAAAATGTCCTGAGTAATAGGTTAATAGTTAGTATTTTCAGTCCAGTCCTTGTACCTGACTATTTTCAGAGGGATGCTTTCTTGTTTGTTAAGCCACTTAACACCAACCTATTAATCATTGAAGGGTTTAAAAAAGGTGCGTAACTCAAGTGATGAAGCAGTTTTCTGTTTACACATAACAAGCAACTTAGCAAAGAAGCAGTTTTATCTTTAACCACTTTGTTATTTGCAGACTGTCACAAACATCATCATCAGACAGCACAGACAAGCTTAAAATAGTATTGTTGCACCAACAAGGCGATTCCCAAAAAAGCTATTAGCCCCAAAAATTGGCATCTCTCAGCATGGTGTGCAGTGTGTCCTTAAAAACACTTGATGAACAGCAGGTCATGTAATTAAGAAACAAGAAAGGTTCAGCAAAGACCTGACACAGGACCTGAGAGATGCAGGTGAAGCGATTAATCCAAATTTTCAGTTTTTTGATTCAAATTGTCATCAGTGTGTATGGAAGCGAGCTTTGAATGTCCTACAAGAAGAAGAAGCTTGCCTAAGAGAGTTCTTGGTATGTTGAAGAATAAAGCTGGTTATACTGCATTTCCATGTATGTTTGCACAATAAATCCAGCATCTATTCCACATTTATCTTGCAAAATATAAAAAAAAATTGGAATGACTGAAGACTTTTGCACAGCACTGTATATTCGTGATGCTAAACTTCAGTGTTTTAAACATGATGTGATGGATCATTTTTCTTCCTTCCAGCCCACTAACTTCACCAACCCAGTTTATGCCACTCTGTATATGGGAGCTCACAACAGCCGCAACTCTCTGGCCAGCACAGATGAGAAGAAGGAGTTGCTATCCCGTGGAGATGAGGAGCCCCTTGTGGACCCACTGGCGTAGACCTTGGTGCCGGATCACGCTATTCCAAACACCCCCCCCATTCTTGCCTTTTAAAGAAAAATTGAACAAAAAAAAAATCAATAAAAAGTGTGAGAGAAAATTGATAAACCATGTGAACACTGTATAAAATGTACAAAAATGAAGGACTACTTTTGTATGTGATTGCAGTATTATATTTTGTTCTTTTGAGATTCCTCTGGTCAAAAACAAATAACATTTTCTATGAGAGATTTTTAATTTCCACTTCGTCCCTTACCCTTTACCTAAATAGCCACTACCTCTGTGCAAAATGAAATGGAAACATGGAAATCATAAGAAAAAAAAAAAAAAGAAATGCTATCATTGGAGCAATTTTAATTTTTTATTTTTGTATGAATTGTATAGAAAAGACAAAAACATTGTTCCATTTCACCAGTGCCAACTGTCTGTTGTTTGTGTCGACTTTGAGCGGGAAAAGGCAAAAACTCAAAGTTTTTGAAATCGGTACATTTGTCATCTTGTCGAGCTTCTTGGCAAGAATGTGTGAGACAGATTTGTGATAGCACCGTTTGTGTATAGCACATGTAAAATGTCAATACCAGATGGCAACTACAGTATTTCCACGTATTTTTCTTTCTTTCTCAGAGAACAATGTTCATAAAATGATTGTGTGGTCTTCCTTGCACAGAATATCACATTTTACGGTATAGTGTATACTGTAGGCTTTATACCTTAAGATGTAAAGAAAATGTTTGTTTTTATCACTTTGTGTAACAGCTGGAGCTGATGTGTTGCTGTGGAGAAAGGATAAAGAGGCTTGTTGGTGCGTGATTGTGCAGTTATATGAAGAACGTGGAAGGTGGTTATGGATTAAACATTCCAGGCAGAGTGATGGATGGAGATTACGGATGTAAAGCAATAGATGGGGTGATACTTTAATGGGTGGGTAGCTGGCTGTGTGTACATGCCCAGAAAACAGCTGGCTAACAATGGCGGGGGCTTTTTTGATAGAAGACTTATAGATAGTGTCATCTTTGCACTATTTAGCGTCTGTTTTCTGGTCTTCCTGTAGAGGCTGCAATTATGGTCAAATGTAAGGAAGGAAAGATTTCTTTTCTATGTGTGTTCTGCTTCTCCAGCCCTGGTTTTTGTTCTGTAAAGACCAGGTAGCATCCATCTGGCTTTGTGAGTAAATTTGCCTTCAGAGGATCAAAGTCTGTATGTTCACAGTTGTGTAATGACTCTGTCTTAAGTGCATTATTTTCATTTGATCCTTAGCGTTTCTGTTTTCTTTCTTGAACCCTTCCCCATCTCTTCTCTGTGCCCTGTTGCTGCTAATGCTACCATTCTGGTTGCTCTGACACGTCCTTACGCTCAGCCTCTGTCCCAAAATGCTGCTTCTGTCAGAAATGTGTCAGCCATATCTTAATGCATGTGAAAAGTAACACAAGTCTTCAGTGTAACTACAATAACAAGTTTTTATTTTGCTTACCTGTCAAGCCAGTGTTATTTTATGCCGTCGTGTATGTTTTGTCTTTAATTGAGAGAGAAGTACAATCATTTTACCGAAAGGACATTTTTGCTAAATCATATGTGCATTTCCAGACTTTTGTTTTGATTAGTCCTTGGTTTTTTAAAATGAAAAATGACACATAGCTTTTATAGTACACAATGCATGGAGGCGCAGACTTTCTTCTGAAAAGAGAATAATGTTTAATTTTTGCTGGAGTACTTTACAAACTAAATAACAGATATTGTTATAAATAAAATTTTAAAAATTGTACAGAAAACAAGCCACAGTGTTCTGTGTTTTGTTCACAA